TTCGCAACCGACCCATCACTAATCTGTTGAGACTGAAATGCATGTATACACTCACTCCACACACTTCTTTACTCACCTGCTTTATTGTTCTCCACAGCCTCCAGCAGGCTGTCAGTCTTCTCCTCAAACTCTGCTATGGCCGTTTCAAATAGCCTAAATATCTATTCCAAAGCTACAGCTGCTGCTTCACCAGCACTCTCACTGTTTTGGAGACATTTTTTTTTGGTACACATTTGTGTTCCTTCGAAGCCTCAAAACTGCACAGAAAATCAAATAGAGTCTGGTGTGTTCACAGCCAGTGAGCTAGCTTAACCGCAGTAGCATCTGTAGGCTACCGAGCCGAGTTGGTATATCATTGAGAAAAATGGCGAACAAGACAGTTTATTAGAGATATACAGAGGCTCTAAATGTTAATTTCTGCCGCATGTCAAATGTACTTTTAAAAGTACGAGCGACACGTACGGTAAACGCTTCTTTAGCGAGACGGAGTTACTCCATTTGTGTTAACTTTGTCACATCAAGGAAAGTCACCTCCAGCCTTTTGTCCCGCCCACTCTGCCTCTGATTGGCCTCGTTGGACTTGTTGCCTTCATTGGTTGGGTTTGTTAGGTTTAGGCATGAGGCGTTATGATTGGTTAGGGTTAGGGCAAGAATATCAGGGTAAGCCAATCAGCAGCAGAGCAGGGCGGGTCTTGCCTTTGTCATCCTTACTATAAAATATCTTTTTCTTTAAAACTTTATTAACAACATAGTGATATTACAACACAAATAACAGTACTGTGAGTATTGGGAAAAAATAAATAAAATACTATAAAAAAGAAATATAATTGTACAATGTAAAACATACATAATACTGCAATTACATTAGGTAACTTATAAAAATAACTTTCTTTCATTATTGCTCAAATTCACTGTGTCCTGACAGTTCAGCAAATATGACCAAACATTATTTTTTATAAAAAATAACCTAGTGCAGCTTTAAAAAGCAAACAACTGGGCTAAATAAAATTTAGATGCAACCCTTAAAAGTGAGTAAGTTTCTCAATATCCTCCTGGATACATACTTGTATCAAAAATGGTATGCACTGAGATTTTTTTCTTTTTTCTGTGTTGGTCTTCGCTGTGCAGGATTGCATATGCTGGAGAGGGATCCCTCTGTTGCTCTTCCTGAGATTTCTTTCATTTTTAAAATTATTTTTGGGGAGTTTTTCCTTATCTGAATCGGGGGTCTAAGGGCAGAGGGTTTCATTTGCTGTACAGATTAGATTACTCATTAAAGATGATTCATTGTTAAAGTTCCCAGTATTACCAAATAAATAAAAGAAAATGTAGTAATTATAAAATGTATCCATTTCTCCAATCCAATTCTACCGTTTATCGGTCCAGTCTTTGGAGCCTGTGCTAACAATTCAATGTGATAGAAAAAACAGCTGCAGCAGTAATATCTATCTGACTGATATTACCATCACAGTCAGCTGGGTTAAAAGTTTTTTAATATTATAATCCTTAAAAGGTCCAGTGTGTAACATTTAGGAGGATCTTTAAGAAATGGAATATAAAATTCATAGGTATATTTTGTATATAATCACCAGAAAATAATAATCATTTATTTAATAATTTTGTTACCTTATAATAAGCCATTTTTATCCGAGGCAGACAAAGGCCAGTTTTACGACAGGGAGCTAACTTTAGCTGCATGAGCTATCTAACTAAATGCAGCTAACATTACCCTTAGCAGTAGTTAGCTACTTTTAGCAACAGGTACATCAGGAAACTCTACCTCGGTAGGTTCTGTTACACACTAACGGCAGCTACAGCAGCAGTTAGCTGAGTTGAGGCAGAGCATCTAGAAACCAGACAATATGATCCAGTTTCACCCAAATCACTCATTAAGTTGTGCTTTTGTACATTAATCAGTGAGGCACCCAGACACACTCCACTCACGCAGAAACCCATGCTGTTGCAAGCTAGCTAATATTCTTAGCTTTGTGTATTATTGGTTGAAATTGGTTGGTTCACGCTTACAAAAGCATGTGTATTTTTTTTTTTACCAAAAGAAACATTTATTCAATGTTAAAATACAAAGAAAATGTATTTTTTGGCATACATTGATAAATAGGGGGTACAATATGGTGTAATCTTAAAGGGTTTAAGTACTTAAGAAGAAATATGATATAGTTTAGTTATAAAGGTCTATCTCTAATATACGCCCACCAAACAAAACCCTGGTTCTCTCTGCAGCTGAACTAATAAAGACTATTTTACACTATTTTAGAATTGACCATAATCCACATTAACATAAACTGTGTGAGAGCAGTATTGAGATGTGGCTGCATGCCTAACCACAGTCCTGACTGAAAGGTATTGGATATCCTCATGCATTATGGGCTATGGTTACGCTGCTCTCACCAGAGCACTTATAGTTTTTGACCTGAGACTGATAATTGAATCTTCTTCCACAAACACTGCAACTGAAAGGTTTCTCTCCTGTGTGGACTCTCATGTGCTTCTTCAGATTTCCAGTCTCTATGTACCTTTTTCCACACACTGAGCAGCCAAACGGTTTCTCTCCTGTATGAATTCTCATGTGTACAACAAGCGCTCCTCTGTGGGTAAACTGCTTTGTGCAAACTGGACAGGTGAAAGGTTTTTCTCCAGTATGAGTCCTTTCATGTCTGCGCAGATTTTCATTCTGGCTGAATATCTTGCCACAAACTGAGCAACTAAATGGTTTCTCACCGGTGTGGACTCTGATGTGCCTCCTCAGATCGTTTTTTTCACCAAAACTTTTTCCAACTGAACGGTTTCTCCCCCGTCTGCACTTACTTGTGTCTCTTCAAATCTGCCTTTTCAGTAAAATTTTTAACACAGAAGACGCAACTGAATGGTTTCTCCCCTGTGTGAAATCGTATGTGTCTCTTCAAATCGGATTTTTCACGAAAGCCTTTCCTACAAATGGTGCAACTAAATGGTTTCCCTCCTGTGTCAACTCTTATGTTTGGTATGCTAACTGTAGCACTGTAGTTTAGAGTTACTAAACCTGACTGAGGTAGACTCATCTCTTGCTGTGAATCACAAGCTAGACCCAAGATTCTGGCTGATTCTGATCCTCCACAGTCCTCTCCATCGGCCACTGCTTTTATCTGCTCATCAGTTTGTGTTTGATGGAGCTGTGAGAACTGAGCTTTCTCTTCATCATCTTCACTCTTAACAGAGACAGCAGTGAAAGTGAACTTGGTTAAATCATCCTCCTTCAGTCCTTGAATATTCTCTCCCTCCTGACTGCTCCAGACCACCTCCTGTTCATCTTTGATATGTGGGAGCTCTTCTTGGTCATCCTGGTCCAGATTGGTCCTCCTCTCCTGCTGTTCAGAAGGATCCTCTTCTTTAATGACCATCAGCTGTGGAACATCTAACAGATAGGACAACAACATACATGTTTAACTCAACAACGGCATTAGATGTTCAAACTAATAAAGTGAGACACTCCCCTGCTAACGTCTTAAGACATTTTAAAGCTTTTCTAAAATATAACATTACTGTTCAGTGAAATATATTGCTATGCCACATACAAAATATATACTGTATATTTAATAAATTAGGTAATTGTTTAGACCAGTGGTTCTCAAATTATGGTATGAGCTGCCCCTAGTAGTACGTGGAAGAATATATCTGAAATATTTTTGAAAAATTAAATACATTTGTTTGAAAACATAATATTGTGAAACATTTTGAATGAAAATACTTTAACTATGAGATGGCTGAATTTAAAATACATTGTGCATTTCCTGTATAATTTAGTCTCAATATCAGCCTTCTACGTAGTCAATTCATGATTAGTTAGGAGCTAAATTGTGATGGCAAGATAGTAAGTGGAGGTAAAATGAATAATAATGAATCCACCAAATTATCTCTGGTTCTTGAGCCAGTTCTTTTCAGGATTCAACATCAGTCAACAATAAATAATCTTCTCATGAGGAATAAACCTCCCTCCTGTGTGAACAGCATTTAACACTGCACAACACCATCTAGTCAACATGGTAGACAACACACAGACAAGGCAATCATTTATAACTACACTAGGGCTGCAACTAACGATTATTTTCATTATCAATGATCTGATGATTATTTTATAGATTTCTAAAGGTTCATGGTGATGTCTTTAAAGGTAAAGATAGTCAGCTTAATATGAAAA